GAGGGGCCCAGGAAAGACCTGCACACAGACCCCAGGACCCAGGCCGGCCATGGGCGCCAACACTGGGGCAGGACTCCCTCTCAGCCCCACCTCCGTTCCCAGAGCTGAGATGTGCTCCCTCCAAGGGCGGAGAGCCCCCAGCCCCCGTGTCTTCAGTGATTTGGAAGTGTAGAGAATGGAATTACCCAAGAACAGATGTGCGCGAGAGGGGTGAAATGGAATGTGTTAGCCGTGGCCCGCCTGCCTTTGATTACCTCTGACTGCCTGCGCGCGTGCCCCCCTCCACCATCGCTCCCCCCCAGCGGTGACGGCTAAATTCAGCTTTGCTGGCCGAGTCCGGCGTCCTCATTGAAATTGAATTGATATTTTGTAAACTTCATTTGTGAATAATGTGATCTGACAGGGACAAATGTGACGGGGAATTGTTTTCAAACCTTCTCCAAATGAAACTTATTATTCGGTAAATACAGATTCCTTTGTCTCGGGGTCTCTCCTCCATCCTGGTGTCTTCACGCCCTGAATATGTATCAGCCCCCCAGGTAATTGAATTGAGGCGATCCGGCTGAGGGCTGGGAGACTAGGGGTGACAGTGCGTGCGGGCCGAGGGGTCAGTGGCAGTGGCGGGCGAGTGGCTGAGCGGTGGCCAGCCGATGCCCCCTCCGAGGGCCCTGCCGCACCCAGCCGGGGCCTGCCGCGGGGCGTCGGGCCTCAGATGTCTTACATATTAATTTCCCTTTGCAGAACGTTCGTGGAGCTCGAGCTCAAATGCAGTTAGCTGGATTGATGAAAGTGGCAAAAGGATACGACACGAGCTGATTCCACCTTTTCAGCTTCGATTAGCTCAGCCGGCGAGTTAGTCTCCCGTCAGCGCTCCATTACAGCGGGCGCGGCCCAGGAGCACGCGGGGGGCCGGGGAAAACCGAGGAGCGGCAAGCCGCTGCCCACAGACCCAGGGGGGCTTCAGGGCTGTGCTGAGATTCTCACAGGTCCGTCCTCAAAGAGGGAGGTATGGCTTCTTCTACAGGACTAAGGTTAACCCTCCACGCCAGGCCCCAGGAGGGGGCTACAGTCAGGGGTGTCACAAGGGGGTGGGGGTGGGCTCTGTCAGAGGCGGTGACACCAAAATGAACCCCCAGGTTCACGGTGCCCCCTCCACACAAGCCTGTTAGGGTGCCTGCGAGTGCGCATTGGGCAGACTGGGTCTCTGCCTGGCCAATGGGAGAGGGGAGGAGCTGTAGGGAGACAGGGGCGGGGCCTGGAGGGGGGAGTCAAGTCGCTTTACTTGGGGGGGGAGGGGTTGTGCCTCCAGGCCCGTCCCACAGCAGGGTGACAGCAACTCTAGTGACGTCACTCCGCAGGCTTCCGAGAAGCATCCTAGCTGGGCCAGGTGTGGCTCTGTGCTTGCACCATACAAAGGCCTGGGGCGCATCCCTCTGCCCCGCCACCACCCTGTGGGTCTTCTCAGCGCACGCGCTGCAGACTTGGGGGTCCGCTTCCTCGTTTGTGTGTCGCACGTGCTGCTGCAAGTGTGTTTCTCACATTTCCTCGTTTAACTGTCAGGACTGAGGAGGAATGACCCCCCAAATTAGGACAAATCCGCAAGAAACTGAGGCTAAGGCAGTCGGCAAGGGATGCGGAGCTAAACCCCTCGCAGGCAGCTTAGTGCGGGAGCGTATCCCCTGAATCCGCAATCTCAAGGAGAGATGGTGGCGGACTGGGTAGGACCCCGGGGTGGGCCACCGTCTTCTTCTCCCTCCTCTTCCTCCTTCCTCCTCTTCCTCGTCCTTTCATGACTATCATCAAACCTTCCTGGCCACCTGCGGAGCAGACCCACCCGAGGAGAGCCAGGAACCACGTGTGGTCAGAACCACGGGGGAATGAAAACTCGGATGTCACCCATCAAAGGAGGATGATCCACCGACAGCTAGGAAAGAGGGCTGAATACCTGGGGCTGCCCATGGCTGGGTCTCTGTCCCTGTCCACCAAAGCACAGGGGATGATTCCCCTGGTAGGGGTGAAGGTGACCCTCAGCATCCCCTCCCCGCCTCCTAGGTTAGGAAGATGCACAGACACTACTGGTACCAGCCCTGCGTAGTTGTTGATGTTAAGTGCTGTCCAGTTGGTTCTGACTCATGGCTACCCTGTATAGGGTTTCCAAGGAGTGACTGGTGGGTTTGAACCAACGACCTTGCAGCTCAAACTGACTTGCAGTCCAGCACACTATCCTGCAGCTCCACACCACAATTCCAAATTCAACCTGTGAGTTTCCCATAGTCACAAAAGGCCCTTAGTTTTCCTGAGTCTTCAGCTCTGTTCTCAGAAGGTGCTGTTCCTGTTCCGGGAATGAGCGAGGGTCTTGGTGTGGGCCAGGCAGCAGCCTCCTGACTCTGTGTTGTTGCTGTTGTTAAGTGCCGTTGAGTCAGTTTTGACCCATAGCGACCCTGTACAGAGTTTCCGAGGGTGTAAATCTTTACGGGAGTAGAAAGCCTCATCTTTCTCCTGCGGAGCAGCTGGTAGTTTCGAACCGCTGACCTTAAGGTTCACAGCCCGATTCGTAACCACTACGCTACAAATAATACTGCCCTGTGCTCAGCAAGCCAGGAAGGGATACTGCTCTTGGCACAATCATCCTGGGCTTGACCCAAACCCCACATCTTCTGAGGCAGGCATTAGTACAACAGGCAGGGTTCCCCTCAGAAAGGCAGGTTGCAGTAAGCTTCACCCCTCACACCCAGCCCTGCAGCACCAGAGAAGATTGCTCCCACTCACCCTCCTCTGCAGAGACGGAGAGGGCACAGAGCAGCAAAGGGACACAGAACCCATAGCCCAGGGTCCTTACCCCATGAGAGACACCTAGATTAGGACAAATCCCCATATAGGGTCCATTCTCCCATCTCCTGACTTTGTTGTTGTTGTTAGGTGCCATCGAATTGGTACTGACTCATAGCGACCTTATGCACAGCAGAATGAAACACAGCCCAATCCTGGGCCAACCTCACTATTGTTGCCACGCTGGAGTCCATCGATGCTGCCACTTGGCCAATCAATTTCATTGGGGGTCTTCCACTTTTTCTCTGACTCTCCACCTTCTCAAACATGATATCCTTCTCCAGGGACTGGTCCCTCCTGACAATATGTCCAAAGTGTGAGAGATGAAGTTTGGCCATTCTGGCCTCCAAGGAGCACTCTGGCTGCATTTCTTCCAAAACAGATCTGTTGGTTCTTTTGGCAGCCCAATATTCTCCTCCAACACTATAACTCAAAAGCATCAATTCTTCTATGGTCTTCCTTATTCTCCTGACTTTACTCCCTGCAAATGTGCTGGGGACACCCACATTTTGGTAGTTTCTAAGTGATCATCCAAGGGCCCTTCTGATTTCAAGTTTCTCCCACTCTGCCCCATCCTTCAGAGTCAAGCACTGGACTGCTAAACACAGGTTGGTGGTTCAAATCCACCAGCCAGTCATTGGAAACCCTATATAGGGTCATGATGAGTCAGAACCGACTCGATGACATTTAGCAACTAAATCCCATCCCTCACTTCTTCCTCCTACTTTCTGGCTTTCTTCTCGGGTCATTTTGACAAAGAAACAGTGAACCTGGATTCTGTTCCCCCTGAATGTTTCTGAGTGGGGATGAGCAAGCTGCCCAGAGGTGTGGGGTCAGCAGACAGTAGGAAGAGCTCACTCATTTGCCACAAGGCAGTTTCACTCTGACATTAGGGGCAACCAGTAGTTATCAATGCTGCCATGTCACCACCTCCCTCCCAAGGTTAGGTTTCCACCCCCAAGGGGGAACCAGGGTTGGAACCTCTAACAAGAACCAGAGAACCCTCGATGGACTCTCCTAACTCAGACCCAGGTTTGTCCTCTCTGGGTCATCTGGACCCAGACCCTCTGCATGGACTCCAAGTCCTTGGAGAACCCGAGGATGCCCCCCAACTTCTCATCTGCCGGATGCGCAAGGAGCATTTTCCCCAGGCACGACCCAATGCCAGGGTGTGTTTTATCGTATCAATGTAGAAATCAATGACGTAGGAAATTGCCAAGATAATGAAAGCTTCTTCACATGGTCTGTGAGCTGGAACTTCATGCTCCAGGCTCAGCAGGGAGGAGGGGGCTCCACTCCGGGGGGCGGGGAGCAGGGGGGACGACTCAGGTACATTCCCTTTGATTAACTGATGCTCCATCCAGCGAGACCATACAGCACTGATGTTATGGATTGAATTGTGCCTCCACCAAATAGATGTTGAGACCCTAACCTCTTTTTTTGTGATTGTGATTCTGTTGGGAAGGGGGGGGAAGGGGGGCTGTTACGTTCATGAAGCAGTATCCCTGTAGGGTGCATGTTCCATGAAATCTCTGCTAAGTTACAAAAGGAGCTGATTAGACAGACATGGCACATGATGGGGAAGACAGACGCTCCAGAATTGCCAAGAACTAAGAAAGGCTATAGTTTCAGGTAAGGAAAGAATCAGCTTTCAGTATCCACAACTGAGAGAACTGAATTTGTTTGTTAAAGTTCCCTTCCCACATGTGGAATGTGTGTTACAGGAGCTCAGGAAGACTAAGACCAGGGATGACCTCTTGTTGGAGTTTTGATGAGGAACCAAACCCTGGAGCCAGCGTGGCCTGCACATGGCCCTGGTTGCTGTCTGACACCAGCATTTATAGCAACCTTATGCGGCAGTATAGACGGGAGCCGCCATCCTTACTAATGGGCCAAACCCACAGGAGGACAGACTTGGGCTCCGACTTCTTGGTAGGATGGGCTTCTGGAGTTTCTGACATCCGGTTTGGAGCTTTGCCCCCCCCCCCCCGGGATTTTAGGAGAAGAGGAAGAAAGGTGGTGGTTTTCTTGGAAAGACTCCTGTGGTTGCAGTTTGGGACTAAGCATGGGACAGGAGCCTGAGGTTGGCCTGGGGTTGTTGTCTTGATTCTAAGGCTAGGCCCAGCACACAGGGGGCCAAAACATTGATTAACAAGTGGACAAGCTCAGTGAGGTCCCACCAAGATTTGAGCTTGGATCACTGGATTCAAAGTCCAGAGTGCTAACCATTACACCATGAGACCTGCTGGACAAGTGCAAAGTATGAGTATTCCTGAACACTTAATTGTGCTCATGAGGAATCTGTACCTGGACAAAGAGGCAGTTGTTCAAACAGAACACGGGAACACTGAATGGTTTAAAATTAAGAAAGGTGTATGACAAGGTTGTATTCTTTCACCATACTTATTCAACTTGTATGCTGAGCAAATAAACCGAGAAGCTAGGTTATATGAAGAAAAACATGGCATCCGGATTGGAGGAAGACTCATTAACAACCTATGATACGCTGATGATACAACCTTGCTTGCTGAAAGTGAAGAGGACTTAAAATACTTAGTAATGAATCAAAGACCACAGCCTTCGGTATGGATTATATCTCAACTGAATCAAAAAAAAAAAAAAAAAAACTCACCACTGGACCAATAAACAACATTCTTATCAATGGAGAAAAGATTGAAGTTGTCAGGGACAGCTATTACTGCCACCACATAGAAAAGAGGAGCTGGGAGCTAGTAGCCACGGTCCACACACCACCCAGCTAGGGGTCAGTGGATGCAGCGGAAGTACAGCCAGGACATTGCTTTGCTGCCTGAAGCTCCCATGTGAGCTCAAGTTACAGGTGAGGCTGCAAACACTACCAGGGAATCTGGAGTGGAGTCTTAGAAGTTAGGGAACATTGAGAGGAAGATGGAAAGATGTCCCAAGATTAAAGCTCAACACACAAGGTGTGAACTGGGCCAGAGGAGGACAAAGGCATGCCCGGTCCAGGACAGCAGACACTTTAATGTGTGTGCTGAGTGGTGAAAAGAACAATGTATTGAAACTTGAGGTGATTGATTTGATGAAAGCCTAAGACATACATGAAATGAAGGATTCCCCATCAAAGTGTCAAGGGCATGAAAGATAAGAAAGTTTGGAGGGACTAGCCCAGTCTGGAGGAGACAGAAGCAGCCACTCAATGTCCAGGGACCCTGATTGGGGTCCTGGGATAGAAAAAGCATGTTAATGAAAGTAAAAACCCACTGCTTTTTAGTTCTGATTTATAGCAACCTTATGTGACAGTGGAGAACGGACCCACAGGGTTTTGCAAGACTGTCAGCTTTATCTTTTTGCCTTGGAGCAACTGGCCGATTCCAACAGCCAAGCTTTCAGTTAGAGCCGAGTGCTTTAACCACTTCTCCATAAAGAGTAAAGCTAAGAAAACCCTGTGGGGCAATTCAATGTGTACTACATGGGGTTGCTATGACTCGAAATCAACTCATCAGCAACAGGTTTGGGGTTTGGATGGATCCATGGAAAATCAGGGTTTAGGGAGGCTAATGGGGATTGGGAGTCCGAGTTGTTGTTTGATGCTATTGAATCAGTTCAGACTCATAGCCACCCAATGCCCAACAACAGAAGGAACCACTGTCCAGTCTTGGGCCATCCTCACAATTGTTACATTTGAGCCCCCTGCTGTTACCATTGTGCCCAGCCGTATCATGGGAGTCCGAAAGGCGGGTCCAAACCAAAACCGTTGGCATCAAATTAATTCCAACTCGTAGCAACGTGATGAGTGCAACTGCCCCCTACGGTTTCCAAGGCTGTAAATCTTTATGGAGACAGACTGACGTATCTTTGTCCTACAGGGTTGCTGAAGGGTTCTAACTGCCAGCCTTTTGGTGAGCAGCCCAATGCTTAACCCACAGCACCACCAACTACATCAATCCAAAATCACAGCCATCAAGTTGGTCCCTACTCATAGAATAGAGTGGGACTGCTCCTTTAAGTTTCCAGGACTACAAATCTTTACAGCAGACTGCCTTCTACAAGGCAGCTGGTGGGTTTGAAGCCCTGATCTTGCACCCACTGCATCACATGGCTCCTGAAATCCAAGTAAGGTTGGGAGTCTTGCACCAAGTGGGCAATGGTAACTCCATGGTAGGAGTCTTGTCCTGGGCGTGGAATGGTTAAGTGCTCAGTGCTTCAAACCCACCAGCCACCCCACAGGAGGAAGGTCTATGTTCATAAAGATTCCAGCCTTGGAAACCCTAGCGGACAGTCCGACTTGATCCCACAGGGTCACTGTGGGTTAGAATGGATTCCACAGCGATGGGGTTGGGTTTTGTTGCTGTTTCTTTACTGTGGGAGCCCTGGATTCAATCCATGGCTGATGTACCTCACACTTCCCCTGCACAGACATGTCCATCTGTCCGTGGAGGCGAACAGGTTTCAGCACAACTTCCGGACTACGATGTTTGTGTTGTTGTTGTTGTCAGGTGCCATCGAGTAGGAACCGACTCATAGCGACCCCATGCACAACAGAATGAAACAATGTCTGATCCTGGGCCAACCTCACTACTGTTGCCACACTCGAGTCCATCAATGATGCCACCTGGCTGATCCATCTCGTTGGGGGTCTTCCTCTTTTTCTCTGACCCTCCACCTTACCCAGCATGACATCCTTCT